GGCTCCTAACACGGCTGGACTTTGGCTCCTAACACGGCTGGACTTTGGCTCCTAACACGGCTGGACTTTGGCTCCTAACACGGCTGGACTTTAGCTCCTAACACGGCTGGACTTTAGCTCCTAACACAGCTGGGCTTTAGCTCCTAACACGACTGGACTTTAGCTCCTAACAGAGCTGGACTTTAGCTCCTAACACGGCTGGACTTTAGCGCCTAACGCGACTGGACTTTAGCGCCTAACGCGACTGGACTTTAGCTCCTAACACGACTGGACTTTAGCTCCTAACACAGCTGGACTTTAGCTCCTAACACAGCTGGACTTTAGCTCCTAACACGTCTGGGATTTAGCTCCTAACGCGACTGGACTTTAGCGCCTAACGCGACTGGACTTTAGCTCCTAACGCGACTGGACTTTAGCTCCTAACACAGCTGGACTTTAGCTCCTAATGCGACTGGACTTTAGCTCCTAACACGACTGGACTTTAGCTCCTAACACGGCTGGRCTTTAGCTCCTAACACGACTGGACTTTAGCTCCTAACACGACTGGACTCTTAACACAGCTGGGCTTTAGCGCCTAACACGACTGGACTTTAGCTCCTAACGCGACTGGACTCTTAACACAGCTGGGCTTTAGCGCCTAACGCGACTGGACTTTAGCTCCTAACACGGCTGGGCTTTAGCTCCTAACACGGCTGGGCTTTAGCTCCTAACACGGCTGGGCTTTAGCTCCTAACACGACTGGGCTTTAGCTCCTAACACGACTGGGCTTTAGCTCCTAACACGACTGGACTTTAGCTCCTAACACGACTGGGCTTTAGCTCCTAACGCGACTGGGCTTTAGCGCCTAACGCGACTGGACTTTAGCGCCTAACGCGACTGGACTTTAGCTCCTAACAGAGCTGAACTTTAGCTCCTAACACAGCTGAACTTTAGCTCCTAACACAGCTGAACTTTAGCTCCTAACACAGCTGGACTTTAGCTCAGAATCTGAAAATCTCGAAGTTTAATTTGATAAATTTGTCAAACATGATTTTACTGATTTTGACACAAAACAAATATTTTTTGTTGAACTTGTGGTCAAAGTGAAACAGGAAGTGATGTCAAAGAGGAACTTCCTGGTTGTTGTTCATCTCTGATAATCTCTGAATAATCTCTGAATAATCTTCAGAAACATCAGATTTTTCTGCTGTTATTCACAGGTGTTCCTCTGTGACATCACTTCCTGTTTCTGCTCAGGTCAATCAGCTGATCATCTGTGTTACAACAAGTCATTAATGTTTATTTAATGTATCAGATTCATCAGTAAACCTGTTTGTCACTTAGTTTGTTTCAGTTTACATCAGATCAAAGACAAAATATTAAATAGTTTAAAACTGAAATCAGTTCATGTTTGTTTGTTTTTATTGTTTTTGTTTAGTTAAATTGATTTATATTCATAAAACTGGATTTTTAACCTCATCTGAAGATAAATATAAAAAGGGCAGATATAAGATTTATTCTTCTGCTGCCTTTGATTTTATTTGATTTACTTTGTGTTTTTGTTCTTTGTGTTTAGATATGTTACAAATGAAATGAATAAATTTATAAATAAATAAAAAACTGAATCAAAAAYAAAGTTAGTTTTAATAATCAAGCTGCAGACCTGCTGGTCGACTTCATTAAACCTGATTTAAAGGATAAAGTTTCACAGATCAGCACTCAGCTGCTACAGCCAGCTGCTACTGTGAGCTGTCCCACAGTGATCCACATAAATTATATTTAATATGAAATTATAAATTAGTTTCAGATGAAACGKTTGAAGTGTTTGGCTCTGACTAGCCCTGAGCTCATCCTGGGCCCAGCAGAACCCGGGCTCCTCAGAACCGGTTCTGTTGATGTRAAGAAGATAAATGTTTCTGTCAGGTTTGTTTAAATCTTGGATCTGATCTGAACACATTCTTTCCTCTCAGACTTTCTGTTGGAGCCTGTTTACTTCTTTAAAACACAAAACAACTGATTCTAATGTGAAAACTTTAGTTTTTATTTTATTTATAAATTAAATCAGTTTATCAGCATTAATAACTCTGCTCTACTTCAGGTGAAACTTTGTGAAATTATCAGGTTTTTATTAAAGTTTTCATGAAAATTTGAACAAATGATCTTTAAATTCAGCCTCATTTAGATGATTTTCTGAGTTTAAACAAGTTAATTAATTAAAGGTTCAGATAATCAGAAGCAGCTGGACTGAGACCAGACAGAACCGAGCTTTAATGAGTTCTGGACCTTTAATGAAACCTGTAGGAGGGTCCAGTTCTGCTTTAATCTTGTTTCAGAAATATAATTTAAAAATCAGCTGTTTGGATCTGAGAACCCGGTCCCGGTCCCGGTCCATACCTTGGTTCCGATCTGGTTCCCGCACTGACCCGCCTGGATGTGAAGGATCTCCCTCATGATTCCTCCTGGTTCTGGTTCTGGTTCTGGTTCTTGCCTCTGCAGCTCAGAGTCTGTGGAGCTGCGTGCACGCGCCCGCTCGGGTTCATGTCCTCCCACAGGCGCGCGCGTTCACGTGACCACGCCCTGATCACGCGCGTGCACGTGGACAGAGTCTCAAGTCAGCAGAAAAAGACAAACTTCAGTAAAAAGTTAATAAATTAAWATCTAAAAAAAAGTTCAGACTTTAAATCAAGATTCAGAAACAAACATTTTAATGTTTGAACTAAAACAAGTTAATCCAGATTTAATCCTTTAATTTCGTTCAGAATAWAAATATTCAGAATTTTTGGAGCTTGAAGACCTCACAGCCTCCAGCTGCTGTCAATCAGAGTCACGTGATATGTTTTCTCTTTCAATGACAATAAAACTACATATATTTTAAAAAACGTTTGAATAAACAAAAGTTAAAAACTTTTTGAATAAAACCAAAATCAACACTAAACATAAATTAAATGTTTTTTTTTTCATTCAGGAATAAATCCCATTGGTTTACATGAAGTGGGCGGGGCTTAAAGGTTGTACCTGAACCAGCCAGCAGGGGGCGTCAACTTCCTGCTTCTGTTCMAACATCTGGATAATTTAATCTGAATTATTTTACTGAAACAAACCTGAATTTAGAACTTAATTTGTTCCTGATTAATTTTCCACMAACAGAAGAACAACAGGACCCTGCCCCTGGTTCTGATCCGGTTCAGAGACAAACCCAGGAACCTGTGACCCTCAGACCTCCTCTCTGATGACCACAGACTGAGTCAGTCTTCATCTTTCTGAAGAGTTTCTGTTTTTTTACTGGTTTTATTCTGAAAGTTCGACTTTCTGGAGGAAAAAATATGAACAAGAACTGGATTAAGAKTTTTGCACAGAACCATGAGAGACTGGAGTCAGAACTCTTTAAAAACCAACATTTATTAGACGTGTTTAATAAAACCGGACTTTACAGAACCAGACTTTACAGAACTTTACAGCCAGAACCACTGGAGGGGTTTAACTTCATCACATAAAAACGTTAAAATATTCCGTTAGTCTGCAGAGGGTCTGGATCCAAACAGAACCGGGCCCATCACTCAAACAGAACCGGGCCCATCACTCAAACAGAACCGGGCCCATCACTCAAACAGAACCGGGCCCATCAGTCCGAGTCGGGTCTTGTTTATCTAGCGGGACTCTTCATCATCTGCAGCTAGCTGTAGCAGGGAGGATGATGTGCAGAGCAGCAGCCGGGCCAGGAGCCGGGCCAGACGGCTGACACAGAGCAGAACCCACCTGAACACAGCAGAACATTCTGACCCAGAACCACAGACAGAACCAGGACCAGTCAGTGAAGGACGGAACAGCCAGTTTTACATTCCCATGGCTTAAAGGAGTTTTAGTTTTCAGCTGCTATTAGCTGAATGCTAGCTTTATATAAGCTAAAAGGAGCAAAACATGTAGCTTAGAGGACAAAACAGAAGCTAAAAGTAGAACAGAAGCTTAAAAAGCAATAAAGAAGCTAAAGGGAACAAAAATATTAGATTGAAGGGGCAAAGCAGGGGTTTAAAGGRGCAGAACAGAAGCTAAAATATGCAAAGTAGCTAAAATTGTGCAGAAGCTGAATAGAGCAAAACAGTAACTAAAAGGAGAAAATTTAGTAGCTAAAATTAGCAAAAATAGTAAAAAAGAAGCAGCATATAAGCTAAAATTAGCAAAGCAGAAGCTAAAAGAAGCAGGACAGTAGCTGAAAGTGGAGGACCTACTTGAGGACGTGTTTGGCCCGGGTGCACCTGAAGTCGTAGGACAGCGAGTACGTGTCGTAGACCGTGGCTCTGACCCCCAGGCAGCACAGGAAGGCCTTGGGGTGCAGCTTGTAGAGGTCAAAGGTCAGTTTAGCGATACCGCTCTTCTTCGGCTCACGAAAACTGGGCAGGATCTGAAACAAACAGGAAACAAAAAACAAACAGGAAACAAAAAGAAACAAACAGGAAATAAACAAGAAACAAACAAGAAACAGTTTGTTTGTGTTTACTGCCACCTGCTGGAGGATCTGAAACAAACAGGAAGCAAACAGGAAACAATCAGGAAACAAACAGGAAGCAATCAGGAAGCAATCAGGAAGCAATCAGGAAACAAACAGGAAACAAACAGGAAGCAATCAGGAAGCAAACAGGAAACAAACAGGAAGCAAACAGGAAACAAATAGGAAGCAAACAGGAAGCAATCAGGAAACAAACAGGAAATAATCAGGAAACAAACAGGAAACAGGAAACAAACAGGAAACAATCAGGAAACAAACAGGAAACAATCAGGAAACAAACAGGAAACAAACAGGAAACAAACAGGAAACAATCAGGAAACAATCAGGAAACAAACAGGAAACAAACAGGAAGCAATCAGGAAACAAACAGGAAACAAACAGGAAGCAATCAGGAAACAAACAGGAAGCAATCAGGAAACAAACAGGAAACAAACAGGAAGCAATCAGGAAACAAACAGGAAGCAATCAGGAAACAAACAGGAAGCAAACAGGAAACAATCAGGAAACAAACAGGAAGCAATCAGGAAACAAACAGGAAGCAATCAGGAAACAAACAGGAAACAAACAGGAAGCAATCAGGAAACAAACAGGAAGCAATCAGGAAACAAACAGGAAGCAAACAGGAAACAATCAGGAAACAAACAGGAAGCAATCAGGAAACAAACAGGAAGCAATCAGGAAACAAACAGGAAACAAACAGGAAGCAATCAGGAAACAAACAGGAAGCAATCAGGAAACAAACAGGAAGCAAACAGGAAACAATCAGGAAACAAACAGGAAGCAATCAGGAAACAAACAGGAAGCAATCAGGAAACAAACAGGAAACAAACAGGAAGCAATCAGGAAACAAACAGGAAGCAATCAGGAAACAAACAGGAAGCAAACAGGAAACAATCAGGAAACAAACAGGAAGCAATCAGGAAACAAACAGGAAGCAATCAGGAAACAAACAGGAAACAAACAGGAAGCAATCAGGAAACAAACAGGAAGCAATCAGG